GGGATGCTGCTTGACAACCTACAGCGCGCAGGTCTGCCTCGACAAGTAACAATGTGACCCCGGATGCCAATAGTGTCAAAAACTGAAAAATCCTGCTTCAGATCCCCCCAATACACTAGGGAAGAAACTACCCAGGGCTCTCAGCTGGGGGCAGAATCCGGCTACACAGGAGTGGTGGTGTTATGCTTGTCAAGAGGCCCCACAGCTGGGTGCAGCCCCTTTCCACCCTGTGTTCTCCTGTCTTGGAAAGTTGGGCTCTGACCCTGGCAAAACTGAAATTGGGGGATGGATCTCCAGGTCTCTCTCACACACACACACACACACACACACACACACACATCGTTCTTCTGTTTGCCACTTACCTTCTCTCGCTCCTAATATATCCTGCACGTGTACCCGTCTCCATATATGGTTTTCCACTGTAAGATGGCCATGTTATTCAAGTTCTCATTGGCAGAAATGTCAACATTTTGCTATCGCAAAGAACAAGACCCCGAGTGACCTTTTATTTTTTCATTCGTGCACTTGTGAGAAGTGTGTTAAGTCCAAAGCATATGTTGAGACATATCTGTATTATTAAAAAGGTCTTCATTTGCATTTTTGGTAGCTAAGTCCTCCTAGCTATCAGATCGTACAGAGAAGTGAAGGTCATCACACAAGCACATTCAACTAGTTAACGGACTACTTGGAAAATTTGTCCCTTTTTGCTTCATAAGCCTCTGAACCCAGAGTGTCTATCCTACCCATTCTAGTCTTGTTAGTCTCTAATTACATTGTACGCATATGACCAATGACACAAATATGAGGCAGGTTAACTGCAGCAAGTAAACCTTGCAAAAATGGTAGATTTGATAAACTTGATAAATAACGCTCGAAAACTGCTTAGATCTCAAAAACGTGGATCTGGCGGACTCCGACCAGCCAACAAAAAGGGAAAAGTAATAAAGTGATCACCAAGAGAGACTTAGAGAAAAGAACAATGTATCAAAAGATTGAGGTCTTTAGGAAAACTGAGGAAGCCTCAAATATTCTTGCCCAAATTCCCCCTCTGATTGCGCTGCAAAAATCAAAATGGGAAGGATACCGCAGGCTGTTAAAGACGGTGTCACATGGGGCACCTGGGTGGCGCAGTCGGTTAAGCGTCCGACTTCAGCCAGGTCACGATCACCATGAGTCGTGAGTTCCTGGCAGCTTGGTCGAGTGCTCTGGGCTACGATGGCTCAGAGCCTGCGTATTCTGATCCACCTTCCCTCTCTCATGCCCCCTCCCGTTCGTAACTGCTCTGTCTCTCTGTCTGTCCAAAAATAAAATAAACCGTTGAAAAAAAAAAAAATTAAAAAAAAAAAAAAAAAAAAGACGGTGTCACGTGAGAAACATTTTGTTCTTTGTTCATGACAAAAGCCTATCTGAAATTATGAATATGCTTTTACAGTTCTGCTCCGTTTTCATGATCGTCCCAAACAGACTTCCTCTGTCCTCCAATCCCCACCACGTACTAGGAGATTCTGGTCCCCATTTTCAGTGGGTTCACTTTAGGGAGCTCTCTCTGGTGTCCATTCTCTTGAGCCACCAGGCAGCACCCACTCAGAAGCCTAGGAGGAAGGCTGAGTCACAGCACTCGTGCCTGGTATGCGAAGGCAAAATATTTCCTGCAACTGTCTGATCCTTGCAGGGGCTTATATATCACGTGTGACAACTGGGTCCCTTTCCTTTTACCCTCTTAAGAAGCGGATGAGGACAGGATGAAACAAAGAGTCTGTGCTCACTTTGCCTTCTGCCATTATTCCCAGCTGCCAGCCTGGGACCACACACCGCGGGACAGAACACCCGGCCGCAGGCTCTCGATATCCTCGCCGGCTGGGCCTCGACAATCCAGCCTGGGACACCTGTCAGCATTCCTCGGCCACTGAGAAAGGAAGCACACGGACACAGGCCCTGAAAACAGCCGCGAGACCTCGCGGACCTTTAATCCTGTGGTGCAAGTCACTTGTTTTGAGGAATACTGTCAGGGGTCATAAGATAAATGAGTCATACAACAGATTGCTTAAAAATCTATAAACAATATACGTATATAGGTACACATGCAACCTTCTCTCTGGCAATTTCCAAATGAAAATATACTTTCTACAGATAGAATGTCAAAGCTGAAAAGAACCCAAACAACTACTTAAACAAACTTCATTTTACACATGAGGAGACTGAAGTCCTAGGCCAGGGGTCGGCAAACTTTTTCTGTAAAGGGCCAGAAAGTGAATTGTTTAGACTCTGTAAGCTGTATGGGCTCTGCTGCAACGACTCAACTTTGTCACTGCAGCACAAAAGCAGCCATAGAAAATACATAAATGTGTGACTGTGTTCTGATAAAATGTTACTTACAGACATTGAAATTTGAATCTTATATTATTTTTCACACGCTACAAAAATACTGTTCTTTTGATCCCAACCACTTAAAAATGTAAAAACCATTTTTAGTGGGCTATACAGAGACAGGCGGTAGACTGGATCTGGCTCTGGGGTCATACTTTGCGGACCCCTGTCCTGGGCTACTCTGACACCCAAGTGTAGTAATACAGAGCCTGCTGTGTTATACCTTATTTGTGATTTGCTCTATCCGTCCCATCAGTGACTCAGATCTGCTTCACCATAAAGTGGACAACTAAGGACCTCTGTAAGTGTTTTCTAAATTTCAGGAGTAATATTAAGATCTATCAGAAACGTACGCCAGGCCACAATGGAAAGAACATCGATATGATGCCATATTGTGCACTAAATAAAATGCAATCAACATAAAAATATAAGAAACTTGAGAAACTCACTAAATTTGAAAAATAGGCTTTATTTTAACCAGTGGTATTGTATGACATCCTATACGGCATAACTGATTACAGCCAAGTTCATGAATACAAATACAATAGCAGTTTCCCTCATTCTCTCTTTTGCTTTCTGTTCAGAGAAATCAGGAGATGGGAGCCTGATGCTCAGAAACCAACGAGCTGTTCCATAGGCTCCGGCCGAGTCCAGGCTCCTGGAGCATATTCAGACTCCTAACACATACACAATCACATGTGCAAAGACCTTTATGAAAAATACTCAGAGCAGTATTTCTTCAGGAAATCACACTAGCATTTACAATCAGACACGGCCGATAAAATTCATCTTGTTGTGGATTGTGAGGATTTGAACTGCACATAAAGGAGATGAGGCCTTTGTGTCCATTTTTCTTTAAAGAGGGGGAGAATCTCAGGTGAGGTGCGGTCACCCATCAGCCTGCCTCCTTCCTTCTCGCTCCACAGCTGACTCAGGGGAGCTCCCCGTCCCTCCGGAGGGCATGCGCCACGGCACTGCGATACAGAAATGGATACACCTTGTCCCAAATACAAGATTTTGTCGCACCACCAACAGTGGAAGTGGCTTTACGCTTTCTTATTTCACAAAAGGTTTAAATACGTGGGCCCTTAGGGGGCACAAGATGCCTGAAATTCAGAAAATTAAGGAAGCAACTCTTCTCTACCCCTGAGAATATTTCATCTTTATGAAGTTGAAAATACAAAATATTAGAATAATTTGCCCTTTCTCCCCATCAAATGGAATCACATTCTCAAAGGATTCCTGCAATATACAAAATTCTGAAACAAAATTTTTTTCTCCCCAAACCAAGACCAAGATTTCAATGTTAAGCTGCCAAGAAGACCCTCTCCCAAAGACGGGTGGAAAAGACACCTCGTTACTTCTCTAATAACCACGTTTAGACAAAGATAGCAAAAGGAGTTTCTGGCCTCATGAGTTTTTATTTTTCACTTTGATTTTCAGCATTTCTTAGCATTGGCTATTGGGAGTGAAGAGAACAATTTGTTTTTCAAAGTCTGAGATATTCCCGGGAAGAGCCCTGATCTTTCCCGTGACGGTTCCCTATAAATAGTTTGTCAAAAACCAGACGGCAAGAGTGAAAATGCTATCCACCCATCTGTTCCATTTCTTCATAGTTTTCACATCAAAAGCACCTAGAGTATCAATTGTGTTCAACACAAAATAGCACTGGGACTGGAGAGAGGATGTCACCTGCCCGTGGCATCGGCCGAGGTGACGTGGGCTCTGAACTACCCAAGAAGTCTTCACCGGCAAACCTGCCAGGCACCAGGGCCTCCCGAAGAGAACAGACAAGCAGCTGTGCATGCTCAAATAGCAAGACGTGCAAAACACATCATCACTCTGCTGGGAATAAAGAGCACACAGGAAGTACACTGACAGCAAGAACCGGCTTCTGCCTGCTGGGGCCGATATGCGTGAGACCTTGGCACTGAAGGTCGGGGGCGAGCAGAGAGAGGGCAACACCTGGGGGGGTGAGGGGGAGAGAAGCACACACACACACGCATGCTCGCACATGCACACACGATGCCTCCAGGGGCTCCCTGGTTACTTTGGGTTCACGAGTGGCCGTCCAACAACCTGACTACTTGCCTGGCTCAGAATGTTCATCTGCCGCGCTCTCGAACTGCCTACACTTTCTTCTCTCCTTTTAAGGCACAAGCATATTTACAGTTTCAGACATACCTGCTGAGTTCTGAGACTCATATTAAGCAAAGTCAATCACAGACTAGTGCACAGAAGCCAGTTGGTCCTTTTCGGCTGCGTGTGTCGCTGAGGGACGGCTTCTGAAGCAGCCAGAAAGTGTGAGCCCCTTCTCTGTGCCACTGTGGGATGCAGGCGCGTCTACCCCCCACCGCAAGGCGGGGCCACAGGAGAGGCCAAAATGGCAAAAGCATGGCTGGGATCTGGGACGTTTAATATTTTTTACTTTGCATTTGACAAACCCTAACCAGAGGGCAGCTCTCGCCTGCCTGAGCTGACTCTCACAAAGAGCAAGCAGTGGCTGCCACAGAGCTTCTGGAACCCCACATGAAGTCACTGTGATCATAGTTTGCTCATATTCTCTTACCCCCCACCCCCCACCCCCCACAGAGACAGACACACACATGCACACGCACAGGAGCGCACACATACACACGCACACACACGTACACACACACACACACACACGCACGCACACACACACCCCTTCCACCATGGAGGAAATCTTTGCAACAAGAGGCACTTGAATGATATTTGGAGAGTTCCCATGAAAAGGCCTTCCCCTCACAGTGAAGTGGGATCAACAAAACAGAAACCAGGTGCTCAGGATTCCATCTCTTCTTGGTCAAGGGGTGGGGGCACAAAGCTGATGACTTCATCGTAGGTCAGGCCTGGAAATTGGGAAGGAAAAGTAGGATGTGAGGGTTCAGATGATTCTCTTTGCTGGCAAGCACTCGAAGCTTCTAAGTTCGAGATCCTTCCTCCCCGTGCAGGCTAATGGTTTGATGGGTGACTTCAAAGAACCGCCTCATTGCTTATGTGCGCTATCCTAATGGAACGTGTGATTACACGGCAGTTCAGTGATACACGTGAAAGAACTATTTTTACTTATATGTTTTATTCCTCAGTGTCTCCTCTTTAAAGTTCTCTGGAGCAGGAATAACAGAGCACTCCTGCAAGCTACAGCAACAGGTAATTTTGGCTTGGGGATTTAACTGGAGTTCTGAATGTGTGTTTTATGGAAAGACTTTGAGATTGGACATAGAGGAGACATAGGCTCCATTTCTGGCTGTGTCCCTAACTAGGTCTAAGGTAAGAGACAAGATAAAAACTCTCCATCAATTGTAAAACTATAATTCTATAGTTCTATCAACTGTAAAACTATAAAAATACCTTATTCCCTACTTAGAGAGATGTTGTAAATGCAGATTCTGAGAACCTCAAAGCTCTATACAGATGTGAGGGGTTGTGTGCAAAATCAGACCAGACAGAAGCACCTCAAAGGTCCAGAGAGTATCATCTACAACAGACAGTTGCCATCAGGGAAACATATCCGTTCTGCATCAAAGACACTAGTGACAAGTTTTAACAAGTTGGTTATAACCAGAAATTCTATTTTCCCACAGCTTTTGGTTAGTGGCTTACCTAAGAAAGATTTTTAAATCTAAGTCCTCACACTAGATGTTAATCCTGCTCTTATGACTTACTCTTCCATTCATCTATAAGGAGGTCCCTGCTTTCAAAGGACTGATCATAAGGATCAGCCACTGGTTCATCATCAGGATCATGGTACTGGGCAAAGTAGGCGTGTGCAAGTGCTTGGGCCGCTGTGATTCTCTTGTCTGAGTCCAGTACAAGCATCTTCTCCAGCAAGTCCACCGCTATCAGTACATGGATTGGAAGGAAAAAAAAGAGTTTTTAACAAGGTAGCAAAAAATTATGCTTTATTAAGCAAACACACAATTTTGACTCTTCATAATAAACAAAAGAATTCTCCTCCCAAATGTCTGCTCTAGGATACATTATCCCTCTTCTTCGTGTGTGTGTGTGTGTGTGTGTGTATATCGTGCTTTTTAAGAATACATTACTAAAGAGCGATTTTTAAAAATAACTGAGATTCTGTTTGAACAAGCTTTTGTGGAACGCCAATGTCAAACTGCTACCACTGTAGTCAAACCGTGTCAAAATGAAAGCCTATAACCAAAGTAATCAGGAAAAGGTAAGCAGCCTGATTTTTGTTTTTTTATTTTTTTGTCTGCTTGCACTGTTTATTTACTGACATAAGGCAATAAGTATCCATTAAACAGATCTTCAAACAATGAACAAATTGAGGGTTTTACATGGGTGTGTGGGCGAGACATGGTATTTGGATAAAGGAAATAAAATTTTCACTATGAAAAATTTCAGTGTACAAAACAATAGTACAGTGAATACTCATATGCCCACCACCACCCATATCCAACAATTAAGATAATCTAGGGGCGCCTGGGTGACTCAGTCGGTTAAGCATCCGACTTCAGCTCAGATCATAATCTTGCAGTCTGTGAGTTCGAGCCCCACGTCAGGCTCGGTGCTGACAGCTCAGAGCCTGGAGCCTGCTTTGGATTCTGTGTCTCCCTCTCACTCTGCCCCTCCCCTGTTCAAGCTCTCTTTCTCTCTCTCAAAAATAAATAAACATTTTAAAAAGTTTTTAAAAAAAAACAAGAAAACATTATCTAT